TCTGGGTGACGGTCGCAAGAGGTAGAGAGACGGTGAGGCTGCGGAGGTTGAGGAGGCGGAGCTAGAGCAGCTGCGGCGGCGGAGACTGGGTCTGTAGCTGGATTCATGACGGGAAATGGTGGTTAATCCTCCCTCTGGTCTCATTTACAACATCGTCATCACTGTCTGGTCTGGCTTATAGAGAGAAAGACAACATTGAGGTTAGAGAGAGAGAGAGATTGAGTAGTGTTGTCTCTGAAACTTCGTCTTGTTCCAACGGTAATTGAAAGAGAAAGGAGATGAACAAGAAAAAAACAAAACAAAAGAATTATTAAAGGAAAAAAAATTATTGTTTTTAAATAAACAAATGTTTTAGATTTGGTTTTAGCGTGTTAATGTACGGTTATCTAGAAATTTTGTTCAGCTTTATTCATGATATAAGCCAAATCTAATTTTATGTACTACTATATCTAAGATAAAAACATATTAAACCTTTATCATTTAAAACATTTTGCTTTGATTTTTTTTTTTTGGTGAGCAACATTTTGCTTTGATTTTTGTTAACATGCAAACTAATTGGAGAAATATGAAATGTCCAAATTAACCTTATGTTCTTCCGATTTGTCTCTTGTAAATAATATAAACCCGTTACTTGTTGGGTCGGTGGCAAAGTGGATTTTTTTGCCTGCTTTGTCAAAAGCGATTTTAACTAAAAAATCAAAATTTTCACACTACTTTTGACAAAATTTTCAAAAAAGTAACACATGCTTCATTTTAATTTAAATCAATATAACTCTATCGTGATTCAACGTTACCAAAACAATTTTTTTATTAAAAACAACGATAACTCTATAAATAATAATTCTAAGAACGTGAATATTGATAATAGAATGTGAATATTGTTGTTTAAAGTTACAAATACATTATTTCAAAGATATTAATTAGTTGATTATTTAATACTAGTAGTATTCGATAGTGCTGCATCTTCTGCATTTCTACAGTGCTACCGTAATAATCATGTCAATTATCGCATCAATCATAGCAACAGGCGTCAACTATGGAAATTACCAGCTTTAACCACAGTAACAACTAAGAATTTACTAGTATTTTTTTAATTTAAGGAAAAAAAAAGGGCTACTTTGGAATTAAAAAGATTCGGACCCAAAATAAATTGAAAAGAAAAGCAAATCACGCCATCACACTCCTAATTTCTTGTCTCTATGACACTCTCTCCTTTCGCTTTCTCTCTTCGTTCCTTTTTCTTTTTTTCTCGCTCTCTCTTTATCTCTCTTTTTTTATTAAATATTTATACATTTCTCCAAATCAATCTTCTCGATATTCGAACATTAAGACGAAAAACAGATGGGAAATTAAGAAATTAAGACGAATAAATCATAAGAAAAATCAAGAAAGAACTCTTTCTTTAGTTATACTGTTTACAAGAAGAAGATAGGTTTTTTTAAGTCAGATGAAAAAAAACACGAGAAAACATTGATCCAGTTTTCGTTATCAAAGACTGTATTATTTGTATGCTTTTTTCTGTTGCGATGCATTCTCTATAACTTTAACTTTATTATATATATTTGCTATTAATTTGATTTCGGAACTATAGTACGTACGGGTCTCTGAATGTCTCTAGCATGGGAAACAAATCTTGTCCTTCACCTAAACGCCGCTCGTTTGGGGAATCATTTTGTTCTATCGTATACACTAGAAAATATTAACATTTTGTAAACCATCGTAAGAATATAATTCGCCATTGTATTATAATAATTCGATTACAATCTTCATCATTTTTAAATGTAATCTTGAGCAGATTGAGATGTATAAAGATGTGTATTTGTGTCTAATATATATATACATATTTTCGGACGTGTGGGTAAGAATCTCCCAACTGAACTAACTAGTTCCGACGTAAGTATAATTCATCATTGGTTCATTATCTATTTTTGTGTGTGTGTGTATTTATGTCTTTTTTGTACTATTAAAGGTAACTTTGGTAGTTAAATCGTAATTCGTAAGTATGGAGTTCTTTTTGTGTGGTCAAATCGTGAATATATCCTTTCTTTTTTTTTTAGTAAATAATTACTTTAGGTCATCTGTGCGTGACGGACTGACGTAGCTCATTGTTGCCTCGTATCCCATTAAACCTCACGCAATCAATGCCATTAATGTGGGTGCGCACGTAATATCTTAGTAATTCACCTTTCACTTTAACGCCTTTTTTTCATCTTACGTATTTTAAATAGGGTTATGTATTATGTACAGTATAATAAAATTTGTAAGAAAATTAATTCTCTATACTTTAATGAATACAGAATTTAGAGATATAAAATAAGAGAGAACATAAATACTTGTAATTTCGTTTAGCCGGGGTCAGATTTGAGATTCCTAACAAAGCCAATTTAATTCCAGCGCATAAAATTAAATCCGGTTTTATAAACATTGGACAGTTAACCGATTAGTAATAGTAGTGCAATCTTTTTAAAACAACATAATAATTATTTCAGCGCTATATATTATCTTTGGACTGTGTCATTTAATCATGAATTTTAAAAGATCATGATTGTAAATTTCCTTTATTATATGGCTCTCAATAGAATGAAGGAAAACATGAAAGAAAAGTTTGATGCAATTTGATAATTAAAAAATAATATCATTAGTATGGTAAAAGGTTTTCAAATGGTTAAACAAAAGTAAAAGATAGTGGTACAAAAAAAAAATAACGGTATACAAGTTGATAAAAAGGTTAAAGATAGTAATAAGTTCACTCAGACTCAATCCACTAAACAAAAAAGAAGAAACCAGCTCATGCTTGGATATAACCCCTGTTCTAAAAATCCCCGCCTAGACCCGATTACTCCCCGCTTAATCGCTAGGCCCACCCTATCCGCCTCGATTAATGACTAATCCCTTAAAGAAATCAGTCACCCGATTACTCTCCGCCTAATCCGATTATTCCCCGCCTAATCCGATTATTCCCCGCCTAATCTTACATACCCCGATTATTTTTAGATTGCCAGTATAAAAAAACTTTTTATTTTTGTTATTCAATCATTTGAATTGGGAGTTTGTAATGTTTTACAATAATTTATGTTCATATTTTAATAAAAATCATAAATATTTGTCTCAAAAATACATTTTTATGTGTTTACTGCAATTTTAAAAATAACATTGGATTAATATGTTTTAAAAATATTAAAATAACCCTAAAACTAATCCCCGATTAATCCCCGATTTTAATCCGATTTTCCGATTAATCGCTAGGCCCATGCCGAGCGCCCGACTAGCGCCTAGCGATTTTTCAAACAAGGGATATAACCATATTTTTCCCCAAATTAGAACAACCCCTAAAAACTTGAGAGATACAAAGATAGTACTTAAACTCTCTTGATCAACCTTTATTACTAAGAAAAAAAAACAAAACTCATTTCCGAAGCACTAATTCATCTCAACTGATGTAAGCTCATTTATCAAACCAACCTACTTAACTAAAACTATAATAATCTAAACCAAATTAATTTATAATTTATTTTATTCGAATTTCTAGGCTTCATTCAGATAGGTGTCTGATATTATTTTAAAAAATTATATAAATATTTTGATATTACTCCATTAGTCTATAAGTTATATAATTGTGTTTGATTTGATTTTATAAAAACTTATGAAAAACATTGGATCAAAGGTAAAGGAAAAAAGAGAGAAATATAATCATTACGAGAGAAATTATGAGTTGGAAAAGGACAATCAACATATGAACCTTTTTGGCCCACAACATTCGACAACTCATAGAAATCAAAGGCTTTTTGGTTTTCCCAATTTAACAAGAAGAAAAACAACCCAACTTAATTTTTTTCACTTATTTTAAAAAATAAATGGGAAAAGATTTATTATTTTACATAAAAAGCCTCTATTTTGGACCCAACATGCTTCTGTATCTCATTCTATTCACATTTATGAAAGTCTCTTTAGTTACTTTCTTACTCAGATACTCTAGCTAATAAGTGTCCATGTATATCTTTGTTATGTACATATCCGTATAAAATGGTTGTGCCGTAGTATTAAACATGTGATACATTAGTAGTGTGTATCATATGACATATGGTACACGGTCAGATTAAAACAAAACTGTTACAAGAATAACATTTCATATGAATTTTTAATTTTTTATAATTATTTGGTCATTACATATTGTAAGACAAAGTTATATGAAATTCCTAATGATAGATGGAAGAGATGAGAAAGAGACATAAGAAAAGGAGGGAGCTAAACATCTACTTTGAGATTTGTTTGTTAGAATTTAAATTTTTTTATATGAATGAGGAATCCCAATAAAGGAGGGAGCTGTTTTTTTTTTAGCATGTTACTAAAGCAAGACAAAAAAAGCACTCAAAACAGGACAAATTTCTAGGCTTTACTTTATTACAAAATTTTGTTTTGTGAAATGTGAACTATAGAGATTTCTTATGTGATTAGTGTTTTTCTGGCAAAAATATAGAGTTACCGATTTGTATATTTAGTAAAAAATAATTTTAGATTCCAACGATTTTACACATGAATATTTGCTCATGTTTTCCTTTTGAGAGTGGATCCAATATATCATAGCATTAGCATATATTTTGAACAAAAAGAAAAGAATATCATCGTCTATATGTTTTTTTTTGTTTGGCACACCACACCATCATCGTATTATAGATAAACTACTATCATAAAACAAGTCTATTACCTGACCCATAAAAGAGTCTATTCTTGCCATGAAAATCAGCAGCTAGTAGTAGTTAGTTCTCAAAGGAAGAGATATACGAAAAGGCATAGTTGAAACACTAATAAGAAGATATCTTTACCATTACTTTGGTGGATCCGTTTTTTTCTTTTGTAGATGAAAGATTCGATCTTGAAAATTACAAGAACAAACAACTTAATAAGATAAATAAATTACTTCAAGTGTTCCCTATAAGTAACTTTATCAGAAAAAAGTTTGTGCAATAAAAATATAAGCAAACCAGTCAATGTAAGACAAATTAGGAAGAGCAACAAACAATCCATTATTATTGAATTTGAAAGGTGAAGTAACTGTACAGAGTTTTTTGTATAATCTTTCTACTTGAACTAATTGGAGAACATTCTATCACTGTTTCTATTTTTGTGCGCAGGCATTATCTTGGCAACAACTTCATTAACTTTATGAGACAATTTTGGAATCATCAGAGCTGCTTCATCAAACAACTGATCTCTAAGTTCACCTGAGATTTGATCTCGGGGAGAAGCTGTAGATAATTCCGACATTGACTGGACGAAAACCGCAGCAGCAGCGTTTAAACCGTGTAATGCTTGACGGCAGGAAGTTATCCTTTCTTGAAGTGAATCGTCTGCAAGTGTATCATGGAATACTTCTGAAGACGTCTTGTCCTGTGACATAACAAAACCACTGATTACATAAAACATAATGTTGACACTTAGCACCATTGCTGGAAATTTTATACATCTCTGAGTTAATTTAAGCCTATAAATATGTAATCTGTATAAATCTGTGCTGTGATAAGTGAGTAGATATATATCAGAATATGACTTGGCGAAACCTGTTCAGGATGTTCTTCTGAACTATGTGAAGATTGATCTTTCACCGTATCAAGAGGGAGATGTTCTTGGATCGACCTCAAAGTCTTGTACCCTGATTTCTGGGAGGGCGTACGCATAAATTGTTTGCTTCCGCCGATGTAGTCTCTTCTTAGGAAAAACTGGGAAGAATATCTTCTTTGCTGCGATGATTTTTCGGCCTCAACCTATGGTTAAGTAAACATATTTGGTCATCAAGATTTCTCTTGGTAACCTAAAACATGTCGAAGCAATAGGGAATAGAGCTCTTACCTCGTCTATCATTGACAAACTGTTATCAAACTGCTTGAGCATGCCCCCATGCCCGGCAGAATGTTTGGTGCAGAAATTCTCAGGTTTCTGTTGTATAATGAAAGGTGCTTGGATGTTTGGAGAATTTAGAAGATCCAAACACACGTTGTAGATAGTGTTCCAACGGGTTTTTTCTTTCTTGTGGCTGTTGAGTAGCAAAACTAAAAACAATCAATGTGGCTCCACAAAAGCAGGCAGAGAGATAGAGAGAATAATTGCAGTAATGACCAGAAACAAGCTAGAGCTTCTTACCTAGGATCATCTCTTTGAAGCACTGAAGTTTCAGTATCGCTGGAGCTTTTGGAAAGACTTCCAAGGCATGAATTTTCGGCTTTTGAACCTTGTTTGGGAGTTTGGCAATCAAGATTTACAGAAGAGCATTCTTCAGCACAGTCAACAACAGTATTTGCCAGACTTTCATCTTCATGTTTCTGTTGTGGAGGCAATAAAGACACCCAATATTACAAGAACTGAAAGCCTTTAGCTGAAATTTCGGGTCAAAAAAAGCATTTTATAAAGATACACTCTATCCTGATTCCCTAAAATCAGAAAGCAGGCAACTTTTTTGGGGTTGTACCTGGTTTGAAATGGAATCCTGACAATTGGTAGCAATATCAGATGTTTCCACTTTAGCTTGAGCCCACTTAGGAAGTCGAGAAACGCTGAACTTAAATGAGGATGTCCATGGGGAGCGTTGCTGCTGCATCTGATCTGCGTTCTCTTCTACTGGCTTATAGTTTGCAGAACATGATGCATCTTTTGGATTGTCTTCCTCCAAATCAACCGCAATTTGCTTGAACTTTTCAAGTTGGGCCACAGTTAACCTGCCATTTTCATTTACTGCCTGTATAATACGAGTAGCCATTCGCAGAGGAAGTTTCCAGACAAAAATACAGCCGTCACTTGCAACCTGACAATAAACACCAAAGAAAAGTTAAAAGCAAAGTTTTATCTCAGTTTTTCGTTTTCATTTGAGGCATACCAAGAAAGATAGATCCAGGCTTTTGAGCAGAGAAAGCTCTTTTACGGTGATTCAATTCAATAGAATGAGACATTGATCTTGACTTCATCCAAAAGCCATGGTTCTTAAAGTTGTAAGTAACAGAAAACTACAATTCAGAAACTTACTGAAATGATATGTTTGCAATCAGGTAGGAAAATAACACCAGTCACAGCTTCACCATGTCCTGTGGCCTGAGCAACCAACTCTCCGGTGACGAAATCGACAAAGCAGATTGTCCTGTTAGAGTAGGAGCATACTAAGTAGCTGTAGCTTGGGTCCAAAATGACCTGTGGAAGACATTTTATCGTCAGCACTAGAACATCAATTGCTGTTAAGCCTAATCAAACTACTTTTTCAATGCACCTTTAAGGGATCTCCATGGTCTCTGTCTTGCTTGAATGATCTAACAAGCTTTCCACTGCCTATGTCGAATATGTTTATCTTCTTATCCTGCAATCATGAGATAAAACATTAGACTGAATGTGCTCGAGATGGTGGTAATATATTAATGTTCAAAGAAAGGTCCCGATACCTGTCCCACTGTGACAACAAGTCCTGATGTTGGATCTACAACCACATCATAGATGGTTCCATGAGAGAGAGTTTTAGGATGAGAAGGTGAAAGACGCACACTACTTGCTTTTCTGACAACGTCAAACAGCTGCAACCTGCAACAATATCAACAATTACGTCATGCATTTCTCTAAAGTAAATATGCAAGTTTCCCGGTCTTGCAGCATATAAAACATTACCTATCTGCACCAGAAGTTAACATTTTCTGGCCATTACATGCAAATTTAACAGAAGTTACAGCAGCTGAACCACAAACACTTCCAACGGGATCAAAGTTCCTGACAAAGTGACAATGAGAACATATAAGTTCATATGGAAATCAAAAGACCATAACAAAGCTGTTGTTTTTACACCTTTTGACATCATAAATGTGGATCGCTCGGCCCTTCCCACCAGAAACAAGCAAGAAATCGCTGCTTGAGGCATTTTCAGAATCAACGTCTTTCAGTCCAGGAGAGCTGAAGCTCAATGACTGAATTTCTGCTTCATGAGCATCCTGCAAGATGGTTATCAATACGAGGCTTTGAATTGGATGTCTGGACACCAACCAGTGAAGACACAGAGCCAATTTAAAATTGAACAACGGTGACTAATGTTACCGTAAAGCATGTATATTCTGATTCTTGTAGGTCATATATATGAAGGTTCCCTCCACAGTCCCCAGCTGCTAAGTACTTTCCATCTTCACTTACTACCAGTGCTCGGAAACCAAATTTGCTACCACATGTCTCAACGAGATCACGTTCAAAAATTCCAGCGCTAGCTGCATTATAAAAAAATAATAAGTGGACTAACCGAAAACAAACTATATGAACGTAAAGTATCCAGAACAGAAAAATACTACAACATCTTCACTACTATGTTTTAATTGCGAGCATATGTTATATTACCTAAATGCATAATCCCTTGTGTGGAAGATTCTGAGGGATTACTGCTTGCGTTGGCTGCTGGACCCACTTCAAAAGCAAGATCCCACAACCTGATGGTTCCATCTTCAGAACATGTAGTGAAGGAAACCCCTTCACTGCATCCCCTAGCTACACATGCAGCTGTTGGACTGTGCAAATTTCCACAAGAGAGGTTTTTGATATCCCAAATTCCGGCAGAATGTGATATCATCATCGAGCACCTAGTAGGCTGGAATAAGGAAGAAAAGTTTCACCATATGCAGTTGGTGCTCTAAGCTTCAACAGGAAACTTTAGAAGTAACATTGGCGCCAGAAAGAACTTCAAAATCAACTAACTTTCTGCGGAAAATGATGAAATACGTTACCAGTTACCTTGTTCACATCGTTCACATCCCAAACATAGAGACTACGATCCCCATAGATGACAACTGTGAAGCCAAAATACCACCTTTTGTCAAAAGGAAGATAGTAAAGCAACGTACTGCTATTTTAAGGTTCTCCTATACTCACCGAGCTTATCTTTGGTAGAAAACTGGCAAGCAACTGCGTCCGGAAAAATAACAGGCGGAGATTCTGTATTTTTGAGTTCTGCTGAATGAGACTGATTTTCAGTGTTGCTGCTTTTAGCATCTGAAAATTGTATTGTGCCAGCATAATCTAAAGTTTCAGGCGTAAATAGCTGGACCATTCCCTTGCTGCAAGCGCAGGCTATCAATCCACTGGATGCAGATAGAGCAAAACATTTTTCAACCTGACAGTTCATTGCAAGCCATTAAAAGAAGCTCTTGTTAAGAAAAAAAGTAAGCTCGGGAAGCTTTGTATCTGAAGGTTCCACAAGCTAACATGAAAAATTGATGTATGTCCACCTAGAATCAACGTATACAAGTTAACAAGTTACAAACTTATTGCCTAGGCTCACAAGGAAAATACAGTAAATGTCTCTGGACTATGGGAAATGATTGTTATGCATGTCTAAATGATGGGGCTAAGCATAGTGTGATCCACTCATGGTTCTTAGATTAACACGAAAAAGATCCAAATGAAGTTATTGTACCTTCAAATCCACCGACTTGTTGATTAACATCCCATAACTCATGAGCATTAGAACACCTACACCTCAGAATAAATTTACTAATCGTCATCAGAACGAGTGTACAAAAGCTCATATTAACAGTTGTAACTGTGTGGAGCGAATACCTGCTTCTGTGAGAGCGTATATTGAGATAAATTCGTCACTTTGTTCGTCAATTCCACTAGAGTTCACTCTATTGATTGATACCACTGACACAAACGAGTTTCCTTTTTGAAAACCATTATCAGTTTGCTTTCCATGAAATGCCAAAGATCCTACTTTACTTGAACGTGTCCTCTGGAAAGAACCCACTGTCCAGAACTTCAAGTGCTTGTTCCCAGAAGTAACAATGAATTTTCTATTGGATGAGAAGGTCACAGAAGTTATCTCAGAGCAATTAGAACTCGCTTTGACCTTCGCCATCAAGATGCTTTTGCGCCAGTCCCAAAGATATATGTATCCTCCAACACTCACCAAATATTCCCCTAAAGGCCAAAGTAAGCAAATACACAAAAACAACAAGTAATTAACTAAGAAAAACAGAATGGATCGGAACAGTAAAGAGCGACAAAAAAAGAAAGAAAACTAACCATTTGGTGAAAAGGAAAGACACTGAGATCCATAAAGGTGGCCTTTCAGCTCCGAGACAAGTCCCAAAGTGTCACAGTCCCAAATCAAGACTGCAGAGAGATTCGGAGACTGAGAAAGATCAAATCAAACACCAGAAAACAATCACGATACGAAAGATAAAATACTGATTGTTTCAATAAGAGCAGTAGATAGCGAATGTAAACACAATCATACCTCTCCAGCAGCTACAAATCGCCCATTCTGCGAAACCGCAACACAGCTCAAAGGCTTAGGCATACGATGAGATACAACAAGATGCGATTGAGTGAAAGAACCTACATCGTAGACTACCACAACACATCCCGCCAAGTAAACACATTTCGAGCTGCAAGTAACTGATGCCAATCCATTGGCGTTTGTTGTCGTCAAACCGATGATCTCTTGTAGAATTAGCTGGAAAAAAGAAGAATTCAAAATCCACTTAGAAATTTCTATGAGAAAAAAAAAAACAAAAATTGAATACATTTGCCTCGAGATTTGGTGAGAGCAAGTGCATTGATAAGACGTACCTTGGTGGATGAACTAGGCTTCTTTAATTTCTGGCTTAGCTTCATTTCCGATTAGGGTATCACAAGAAAAAACCCTAAAATTTCTGAGGAATTTGATATCGGAAACCCTAGCGAGAGAGAGAGAGAGTGATTCTGGGGATTTTCTAAGTGACGAGATTGTCGTTACTGTGTAGGAGGGAAACAATTATCAAAAGATTGAATTTTAAAAATAAATTCATCCGTTATAAATTAATTTAAACCTATAAATTAGTTACTTTTTAATTTTTCTTTTGTCGCGATTAAATTGAAAATAGGCCCAAATTTCAACAAATAAAGCCCAGTATAATTTCGGCTTTAAGGCCCACAAATTTGGTTTTAGTTTATTTTTATTATTCCATTGTCTTCAACTAATAAATCTTGTCCGTCTCGTCTTCTAAATCTCTCGCTTTCACCAACCAAACCCAGAAGAAACAATAATCGAAAAATAGGGTTTTAATTTGAGAGAGAAGATGAATTTCAGAAGCTTTGAGGAGTTCTGGCCTTTCTACGTGATGCAACACTCGAATCCGTTAACGAGGCGATGGCACTTCATAGGTATAATCGCGAGCATCGTTGCCTTGATGTGTTCGATTTTGATCAACTGGTGGTTCGTTGCTCTGGTGCCTCTGCTTGGGTACGGGTTCGCGTGGTATAGCCACTTCTTCGTGGAAGGGAATGTTCCGGCGAGCTTTGGGCATCCCCTTTGGTCGTTTCTCTGCGATCTCAAGATGTTTAGTCTGATGCTCACAGGAAGCATGGAGAGAGAGATGAAGAGACTCGGTAAGAGGCCATTGTTGCAACTCTCTTGAAGCAGAAGAAATCTCTATAGAATTGTTCTTGATTCTTCTCATTGCGTTCTGCGATTGGATTTAGACTCGAGATTTGTAATTACTTCATGGAATCGTTGTTTGCGAATGATCGATCATTCCTTCAAATTCAAAACTTGTTTGGAAACAGAACATAAAAGAGTCTCAAGAAATTAAAGTCGAATTAAGTTTTGCATAAACTTTATAAACTCAAAAAAGAGTTGATCTAACACTAAAGTCGAATTACATATTTTAAAAAGATACAGAACCCGAAAACTCTACCACGAAATTGTCCCTGGATCCTTTAGATGAGCTCTATGAGGATGTGTACCTCCTGTTTACAGATGGTACCTATTATCATAAGTCTGTGTTGCGGGAAAAGGACGGGAGGGGTACGGCTTCTTGAGGCCGTAGAATCACGAGCAGACCGAACATCCCGAGCATCGGGAGGACAAGAAGCCATTTCAGAAGCTTGTAGTAATACATATGGAAAGTTAGTGAGAATTCGTCTGAGAAATGGAGTCCATTCCTATCTACCATCTCCACCATTACAGTTCCTGTTGTTCTCACTCCGACAGTTGGTAGTTTTATCCTGTATTTTCCAGGACGGTCATAGATCTGGCTCTGCGTTATCCTCCTATCTCCCTGGTAATTGCCTGGAACCAACAGCGTCGTCTGTACATTTGAAAACAGCTGGTTTAGTTTCAGCAAGAAGCCATTGCTCATCTATTGAGGTTTGAGGAACTTACAGTAACGTTGTAGGGTGCTTGTGAACCAGATGGATATCTATATTTATCAACGATCTCGATCTCAGCCCAGAAGTTTTTGCCTTCCTCATCACGGAAACCTCTGGTCGAATGCGAGACAAAAACGCCTTCACGATCATAACGATTGGCCTTATTGTTCCTGCCTTGATCAGTGGATCTCCAAGCCTGATGAAATCGAGAACCAAGTGTGAAATCAGTAATCTCCCACATTATAAAAAAAGAATCAAAAGATTTTGAGCAAAACCCGCTCAAAATAGAGCGTGGGCTGATCTTGCCTTAAGGGGATGGTAAGGAGAAGGCGTTGAGAAGCAAAAGACGTTTCCATTCATAGTTGAGACAATAAGATCGAGATCATCTCCACCGTCAACATTATCAGCCAAGACCATGCTGTATCTGTAACTCGAAACACCCTGGTGGTCAAAATCCACTGGAAACTGATACTAAAGATATTACTTGCGGAGAGGAAGCAAAAGTGACTTACGAAGTTTCACCAATATCAACAACGTCAGTGCATGAGGTGGGTCCATCTATGAGATACAGGTAACCGTCAAAAGATGTAGTAACGATAGTGAGACCCTTCTTTTTCTCACCTCGCTTGTTCAGATCAACAAGAAGAAGTTGGTTCATCACTCTTCCATGAGTTCTATATGGGTAAGGACGGACAATAGAACCATCCTTGCCACTAAGAACGTATATGTTTCCTGATGATGTAGGAACCACAACATCCGTGTGTCCGTCACCATCAACATCGCCTATAGAAGGACCCTGAAAGAGAAGATCGGCAGCAATCACTGATCGTGAAGTGATCAATTCAGAGACAGGTTTCATGGTAAAGAATTTTTGGTCTTATGTAGGGACTTAAACTAAAAATAACAGCACACAGATCTCATGAAAGCTTTTATGCACTACGATTATTTGAATCCTGATGATGCTCCTACAACGGGTTCATTCATAAGAGTTTTCTGTTTCTGATAAGAATAAACAGAGGTAATTGTTTACCTGGGGAACAAGACTCTTAAGATGTGCTTCCCAAATTTCCACTCCTTGGGTAGTCCATGCTGCTATATTTCCGTGTGAATCAGTAGTTACAAGTTCAATCTTTCCATCATCATTTATGTCGGCTGCAACCACTGCCCCTTGAATTTCAGCCATTTCCAGTGGGAATTTTTCTCTGATGTTTCCTGCAAAAAGACAACAATCTTAGAATCCAAACCAACATCGAGAATGCAAGGAAACTGCCACGATTAACCAGTGCGACAAAAATATGTAGCAAGACTTGTGTATTGTCCTGAAAATCTTAGAATCCAAACCAACATCGAGAATTGCAAGCAAAATGCCATGATTAACCAGTGCGACAATAATATGTAGTAAGACTTGTGTATTGTCCTGAAATGTCTTCCTTATGAGAAAATATTGGAATAAAAAAAAGTAGATCAACATGAATAATTCTAATAAGAGTGAAAATTTTGTCCTGCAGAGAAACGGAATAATTAAACTTGACATAGAAATTTTGTGAAGTGTGTGAACTTGACTGTGAAAGCTATAGTTGCATAATCACATAAAACCGATCCAAAAGAAACAGCTTCTGCCAGAAGCATTGCTTGGTCAAAACAGTACCAGGAAATGCAGAATTGTCATCAACGCAAATAAATAAACAGCAGGAAGTAACAAGAAGTCTTACCACGATGATCCATGGCGTAGAATAAGCCAAAGGAAGTTCCGACAAGGATATCCAAATAACCATCGCCATCCAAATCAACAACCGTTGGGGAAGAATAAATATAAGCACGGAAGTTTGCTTTATCCGTACTCAAATCTAGCTCTTTGATCCACTTGACTTGTTTAGTTTCAAGATTGAAAACCACGATTGAACTAGCAATATAATTTTTTATGTCGATACCACCAAGCTCTTTCAGATGTTCTGGATTATCATAGTACCTGAAAATTGCTTATCGTGTTAGCTGACCTATATTCTGCAATGCAAATACATTGGAAACGCTAATGATAATATTCAAGACCTCATGCATGCTGATGCATGCAATACCTACTAATGATGCGTTTGCATTAACAAATTCTGGGAACATCTACAGTGTGAAAGATGAACTTACTCAGGGTCGAAGAAATAGGAAACAGCAACAATCATCTCCTGTACTCCATCTTTGTCTATGTCAGCAATTACCTGATAAAAAGAGACACAGTAAGATCTCTCATGGAACTAAGTAATCCGAAATAATCCTAGACAAGGTTTTTGACATAGATGAAACTCACAGGAGTGCAAAGTATATGGGCGTCAATATTCACATAATCCTCTGAGTTCTCGTGCTGCCCCTCGACCCATTCCTCATCACCCCACATTTTCTCATCAACATAATCGTCATAATCATAACTGTATTCATCAGCTAGCTCATCATTCTCACGCAACAACTCAAACGATGAATCTGCGTCAGCTTCTAAGCCTCCATCGTTTTCAACGGTCGCCATGCGAACACCCTCTTTGTTGTCTTTATTGTCCGAATGGCCGTCCACAGATTCTTTCGAACCATCCTCTTCCAGAAGTCGCCTCCCACTCTTGGTTACTGTCTCTGTCGTACTACTGTTTCCAGTTGTCCCCAGAGATTCTGAGGAATTACCCGTACTAGTGTTTAGTTTAATAACAGTTTCATTCTTATCTTCACTAATTTTGCTTTGATCCACCTCATTGGTGGTTACATTTCCATTGAGCTTTTCTGTTGAGCCAGCTGTAGTAACATTTGCTGACGAATTATTTGCTCCAGCACCCATGGAGGAATTATGTAGCTCGGGTGTAGGCTTTACGATAGCTTCTGTTTGATTATTCTCGAGTCTCTTTTGATCCTCTTGAGATGACACGTTTGAATCGCCGCCATGGACTCTTTGGACATCGAGAGTGTAACATTTGGTGTTGTGGTTGCTGCATTCGCTTCTACAGAGAGGAGAAGTGAGAGTCACAAAGTAAACTTTCATCACGAATTAAATTGACTCTGCTAATTCATGTACTTTTTCTACCCTCTAAATACTGGAGATACTGATAAGAGACTCCCATCAGATGTAAAATCCATAAGAAAAAAGCAAGACACAAAATTAATTACATTCTTCAGATAAGCTGAGGCAGCTACTCAAGCATAAACTTAGCTTTATACTTTCAATTACCAACCAGTTCAGTGTCCTCTAAAACTAGGAAGAAGACAAATTTAACCAAGAGGATACTGTGGAAGATGGGAATAACTTAAGAAGCAAACAAGAAAACTGATGTAGAAAATCTAATATGATAAAGAAACTTACGAGTGGCCGATGACTTCATTGCCATAGCTTCCTCCTCAAGCACATCATCATGGACATCAGGATGTGAACGGTCGACAGGGTCAGGATTAAGCCCCACATGCCAGTTCTTGTGCACTTTTCTACGTGGCACTTCTAGCTTATCTGACATCAAAAAGCCTGATACCCTGGAAACAAGAAAGTATCATACGAAAACCCACAAAACTCCAAGGATCATGATAACAGACAAAAGTATATCCATCATCTGAGAGGAACAATTACCTGAAAAAGAGCACTTCGCCATTGTAGGTAGCCAGAGCAATTTCTCTAACACCATCTTTGTCGATATCGAATAAAAGAGGACTGGAATGCACATTTGACTGATGAAAAGCAGGCCAACCTAGAAATTTATGAGTGCATCAGTACCTTTTCAAAGTCCTCAATATTCTACAGCATCAGATGAACAAGCACAAAAGAAAAATTCAGAAGGCAAGAAGAAAAGATGTATTGTACCTGGCATCTTGTCTCCATCAGCACCTTCAAGGACTTCGAGGTAATGAACAAAAGATGGAACAACAATGTCAAGCTTTCCATCACTGTAACAAAAACCAAATCCGGCTTTAAGCACAAAATATGGAACCAGCACACATGAATCATGATCCTAAACCCAAAATCTGATTGTGAGTAAGATTTCAACACAGAATCAACATAAAAAAAATTGATGGGAAAAAATAAAAAAATGATACCTGTTAATATCAGCAATCAAGGGTGTAGCATAAACGCTAGAAGTGACTTCAGTTTGCCATCGTAGCTCCAATTTTTTCGGGCACTGAGTATTCAATAAAGAATCTTCATCACTGCACAAACGAAACGACCCAGAAAAAAAAAACTTAAATCGGAGAAACCAAACAGAATGGCTCACAAGTAAAGAAACATATCTCCAATAAAACAAAAATTCGATCAAATTGAGGCGATGCAGATCGAAAACTTACATTTCAGGGTAGCCCAGGTCGTCATCGGTGGCTTTACGCTCTCTGAACTTATTTTCCCCACAGGAGAGTTTTGATAAGGTAAGACAGAGCAAACAAACCAGCAGACACAGCCGCG